CTGTATATAATATAATATACATAAACATAAAAATGAAAAACTTGAGAAAAAAACTTAACAATCGACGACGTTTTATAGAAAATATCAATACAAAAATTGATAACATAACATGACGGATCATGTATACTCTGAAAACCTATTGGGACGCAGTGATGTTCCGATTTTCTCATTATTATTATTGAAATAAATCCTATTTGTGTATATACATATTGATTTTTAACAGGCTCAGAAATAGCGAATGAAATCGAGCGAAACGAAATGTGTAAAAAAAAAGGGTAAGCTTGTATGTATAGGGAGAGTTTTCACTTCGATTTATTTTTATGCCGACGCGTTTATTTTGTTTTTATTACATTCTGCGTATGAAAACTAGTACCGAGAGTTCGGTGTATATATGATATTTTAAGATCACTCGACAAGTCGTATGGAAATCAAAAAGCACAGTTAGTTTTAGCAGATAGTAAACAAATATATATATGTGTGTGTGCGTCTGTATGTGCGGTCGTAAATTAACGAACCACGTTCCGGAGACGGGGCCGAGAAGCTATAAAACTGATCGTATATTGAAATCCGGCCAAATCGGTTTATTACGGTGGTGGCGTTGAAGACAGCAAGAAAAATCGAAAATCGGTTAGGGGTAGAGGAAAAAGAATAGTCATCAGAAACCGACAAACCGAAGACTGTTGTTTTCATTGCAGTAGCGTTTTCACAAAAAAAAAAAAAAATATGTATATTATTACTTTTCATCGCTATCGGATTACACTACTGATTCGGTGTAAAAAAAAACCAATATAAAGACACAAATATTATACTTTTGTCGTCTTAGTTATGACCACAGTTTTATTATTACTATTAAAACATACGAATCGACTAAGCATGTTAGTTTATCGTTAAAGTTCTCCGACAGTTTTATTTCGAATTCAATGACAGGTTTAACAAAAGTGAATCCAACAATAAAAACGTGTACTTGTTCGAGAAATAAGATAGTTAGAACAAGAAGATGATAGCAATAATATAGTCAGCGCAGCAAATTATGAAAATTGAACAACAAATTATCGAATGCAAACTAAGCGGCTATGCGAAAAACAATCTGTAATCCAAAATGAAACGAGAGTAAAAGTAAATAAACCATTTTCACAATAATTATTTACTATAGTAGCGTACTAAACGTTCTTTATACTTGAGTTGAAACAAACAAATTTGAATCCACTCACTCAAAAAATGGATTTGTGTGTGCCCAACAAATAATTACAGTAAACACTTTACTTAGCTATATTGACTACATAATATAGGCTATCATATTCGTATATCATTTTGCATATCATATTCGAGTATATATATACATAATACACAAAACTAAAGACCTTTCTGAACTAGTCAATCTTAATCAACATTCAATATATTTGGCCACCCCCATATGTTATTCATGAAGCAATTGCCTAAAAAAACCTACCTTGGTACGCCACTGATTTGCTATACCTTATTATATAAACGATAAATGATTTTGAATTTGTAAAAATAATATTAATTTATGGTAAAACAACTTTTGACAAAACAAAATTGACTAAATATATAAGAAAAATGGAAAAATTAAAAAATATATAATACAATCAAATATAGCTCATTTAATCGAAAATTACTTGAAACAAATTTATCACTTGCCGAAATTAATTTATCATGTCACAAAATATGTAAATAATTATATAAATCCGAGCCCTAATTATAACAAATAAATACATATAAAATGTAACAAGTTTAATAATAATTATTTTTAAAAAAATAAAAAAAAATACACTTGTATAATCATCAACATTATTAAAATACGATTAGATCGATAACATCGCTATAAAGCACAAGACTTCTGCACGGTCCATAAAAATCAAGACGAATTGAAATTCGTGTTACAATAAATTAGTTCAAATTGCTTATTTTTACTTTTTAATATATACTAAGCGGAAAGTGTCAGCGATAGTTGTTAAACAAAGTTTTAAATGAGCTCTAGAGAGTCCACGTTTTGAATATCTCCTGCAAACGTATAACAAGTCGGAAACTAAAAAAAAAAACTGCTAATATTTTTTTTACTTTATATAATATATAACATCGGATATACTAAGAACGGACGACAGTGTTGGTCATTTCGAACGTTCCGCGATTCTCGAGAAGGAGGACCTTAATGTTTCGTCGAAAACTTTTTCCTAGCAGCATTACTACAAAAATATAGCGATTCGAAGGAAAAACTTCGCGAAGGAACTATATATTATTTACTCTTAGAAAGTGCGAATAGCGGCGTTTGGAAAACCTATGTAAAACAGATCACAAAAGTATATAGTAACTTGTAGGTAAGTATAATATTATATAATGATGGTCACGTTAAATTTGTACAACGCTAAAGAAAAACTCAGCTCTGTTACAACTATCTCGTCTATTCCCTATGACGCCATCGAACATAATCGGACACATCGGAATAAAATAAATCATACTCTAAACTTTAATTATGAACGGTTTCATAGGCATCGGAATAAAATAAATCAAACACTAAACTATAATTATGTGCGGTTTCACAAGCATCTGAATAAAATAAACCAAACTCTAAACTCTAATTACTTGCGGTCAATTATGAATGTTAAAAATTAAAATATATAACATTATCATCATGACGCTGCACACAAATTAAGATATCAAGAAAACAATTTCGTCTCTTCCGGTTCGACAATTGTTTTAATTCGAGTCGACAATTTTGTTTTTGTTTTTCAAGTTGCAGTGCACGAGTAAATTACGCATAATAAATATTATGATTCGATTAAGTTAAAACGTCCGATTTTATCACTGCAGTGACTATAGCTAAGCACTTAAAAACCAACAAAATATCATATAAATAAAATATATTATTCGTTTCCGCCTTTATAATATAATTACATTATAATTTATTGGTTATACGGTTATATGTGTACATTAGATATTATAAATAATATAAGTGAAGTATTTAATTATTGTATCAATGCAGTTTGTACAATATTATGTGTTAATCTAGTTTAAATTAAAACAGTAGGCAGTTATAAAGTTTAAAAACACGTTATATTAATTGACATATAAATAAAAAATCATACGATCACAATGGAGTCAAAATGAAGATTTTAATAAATTGGAATAACAGATTTTAGGTTAGATTATTGTTTATTGAAATATTGTAGAATTTCACATTGTATGAAGTTAAATCAACATTCTTTTGGTCTTATGTGTAGGTACTCGTAGTAATATTTAAAACGTTATTCAATTGTGGATTTTACTGTTTGCATGAGTTTAAAAAGATAATCAATGATGTTATATTAAAGTTATATCGGTAATCAAATTTATTGATAACGGCAGTTACAACGGAATTATTAAAATATAATAGATTGATTAATTATATACGATTTCTACCAACACACGAAAGTATCAAAATAACTAAATTTATCTTTTCTTAATTTGTGTTTAATTATAGTCAAAACAGTTCATAGCAATTGTCAATTAATCTACATTCATCATGACATTCAAAACAGCGCTATCATGAGTAGAAACAACTATTAACTTGGACATTTTACTCTTAACATCCCTATTTATTATAGTTTTAACTTCGAAATGTTCATGTGTGTAAATTAATTATTATTGTGCGATTAGGTATATTTATTATCAAGAGGCGTGTAGTGCGTACCGCAATAAATTATATGATACACTTATAGCACTTTTAGTTTCGCGATAGGTAATGAAAACGATTATCTCTTATCCTTATATTACTTAATACTTTAAAATTTAAAATTTATCTTTAACATTTTTTCAGAGTTAAAAACTAAAACATATAGGACAAAAGATTTTGTTTTTGGTGTATAGATCGATGTTTTTTTTAGATACTATATGATGATTTTACGAGTATATATAATAAAAATAATACTATAACGTATGGTAAACCTTCGCTCGAATTTCTAATTTATTCCCCGATGAACTTAATTAATTAGTTTGGGAATGAAACTGACACGTATCAAAAACCTCGACGGTCTAAACTACAGTGTTTCAACATTATATTATATTGATAGTTAAAAAATTAATAACCGACCATATTATAATAGAGATACCTATACTATATAACATGATAATATTATAAAAACGCGATAATGAATTTTAACCGCGATAAATATATTATAACCATATCGATTGGCAAATTATATTAGGTACGATAATATTATTAAATACAAGTACAGCATTAGTACGTAGGCGCCGGATTCCATCGAAAATAAAATAATAATTTATTTACAGCTCGTGACAATAACATTTTAAAATAATATTATGAATAATTAATATATATATATATCTATATATAACAGACGTTCCTCAGTTAAAAAAACGTAAAATCATGAAATCAATTATATGTAAATATCGATAATTTATTCAGATTAATTACTGATTTGAAAATGTGAAATACCTACTCGATATACAACATGAGATATATAACGTTTAGTTTTATTATTAAAACCAAAAATATTCCACACATAATATACGAAAGTTATGAGCTACCACGCGGTTACCACGAATTGATGTATGCTCGATTATAAACTATCTTATTATTACTATTTCCTGCGTCGTTACAATAAAAATGGTCGTGTAATGGGTTAAAAAATATAACTGGTCGCGTTGGAACCATTGAATACACGTACGAAATAAGCCCGGAGAATCCCAGGACATTTAGCACAATAACTACACTTAAAATAGCGGTAAAATCACCAAACGATTACTATACGAGCATTAAGTACTTAAGGTTTTATCAAAAACGATAATGTCCATTTAAATGAAAATAATATGATTGATAGCGTACTTTTTTAAAATTAAAAACTTAAATACTACACTTTATTAAACAAGCAATACATTTTTGATATACGAGTCGACTGGTCCATATACTGGTCTACCTGTTTACGTTTCGACGCCGCAAAAAGTGGCTCAAATTAATGAAATTGGTTCCAAAGGGTCAAACTATGAACCAATATTACTATTTGATAGTTTTGGCAACACTGCGCGAACGAGTTCGTAAGAAACGGGCGATGTTGTGGAAAAACAAGTCGTGGATCTTGCACCTGGATAACACACCTGTCCATAACGCGCTGTCTGTGAAGCGTTATTTGGCCGCTAAAGGCTCTCCAGTGCTCGAACACGTGCCTTACTCAGCCGAATTGGCATCCAGCGACTTTTACTTGTTTACAAAGATCAAGTCTGCTTTAAAAGGAACCCGGTTCGAGTCGATGGAAGAGGTGAAACGAAAATCGGCGGAACTCCTGAATGGTCTTACGAAAACAAACTTCCAAAACTGCTTCGAGCAATGGAAGAAACGAATAAAACGGTGTGTGGAGAGAGGAGAAGAATATATTGAAGGGGAACATTCGGTTGTGGAATAATTTTTAAAATAAAACCATTTTTCATAAGCAGTATCGTTATTTAATAGCCAGACCTCGTACATCAACATTAACGTTAAATTAAACCAATTGCAATATAAATACATCAGTCATAAGTTCTGGACTTCTGGTTATTCTTATATACTAATTAATTAAATTATTTAAATATACATTAAACATATCAACAGTTATACATGAAAATAAATCCATATGAAATAAATTTAATAATTAAATAACTTTACTCATAGAAGAATTTCGACCATATAATTGGTAGACTGGAATGGTATATAAGTAGTTTAGTGCTATGACTAGGAATCAAGAAAAATTTAAGCGCGAAAGTAATTCAGGACAATAAACTTATCTATTAGGTAGTTTAAAAACGGTTCAATGTCTAAATGATATAAAAACGGTTGGTAAAACGAGTGAGGTCGACGTTGAATGCCGTAGTTAAATGACAAAAATCTTAAAAAATGATTTTATATCGACTCCATTGTTTGTATGGGAACAACCCTAATAGGTGACTAAACTGTAGAGTTTTAATCTAAAATTGACCGTACATATGAGCAATAAAGTGCTTTTAATACATATGGATTATTAAAACTTTTACAGCTTAGATTTGTAAAACCAAACATAGAGGACGCTTTGTTTTAGATATTTAAATAATACACATTAAACAATAGTGATATATCAAAAATTCTACCTAGGTCATTATTCTTATAAACGTGAGCGAGTTCAGAATCATTTAAATTGAAGTTATAAATATATGGTGTTCGTTTATTTGATAAAGTTAATACTTTGCAATTAAAATTATTTTAAAGTAAACTATTCTGGTTACACCAATCATAGAGGACGGTTATATCATTTTGGAGTAACTCATAATCGATTTGGATATTTATGATATGAAATAATTTTAAGTAATCCGCAAAAACTGGGATAAAAATAATATTATTTCCTTAGCATAATAATATTGTTAACCAATTGTTTTTGGTGGTAGGTATGCAATTATGTAAACGACGATGTAGAAACCTGAAAAAGGGAATACTTAAGTAAAAAAAAATGAACTTTCGCCTGATTTCGCATAGTAAAATGTAAGACAACTGATATATACGATAAAAAACATGATTTTACAATACATCCCAGAATTGTATTACCTGTGTATAGAGTGCAAATTAACAATTGGCTATTTTCGAAATACAATTGCTATTTAATAATAACAAAAAAAAATATTTAGAATATTCAAACATTGTGTTAACAATGATGCGTTTTTTTCGAATTTAAAAATATATATCAGATTACTTTTTCAACTTTATTAGCATGCATGTTAGTTTAGATAATATTGTAGGATCGCGCGCACTGAATATTTAAAAATTTACCACCGGGGGACATTTTCTCGTTGTTATTAGTATTATTATTAAACTACATCATCCACTTTGCTTTTTTTTCGCGGTTTTTTTTTATAATGGTGACAAGTTTCTAAATGGCCCTATTTAAATTTTTTTTTTTTTTAATTTTTAACCGGAGCGAAAAAACTATTAATTTTACAACGACGCATTTTCCGCTTTTACAAACACTAATACGATAAACCATCCATGAACAATCCGTGTAAATTGATCTATCACACATAACGATGGTATTAAAACGCAATTTTTTCTTTTTCTTTTTTTTTTGGAATTTTTTTAAATATTCAATCTGTATGAGCTTATATATTATATAATAGTACTGTGTATTATACAATATATACCTAACGATAGGTTCAACTTTATAGATCGTATAAAGCAGTTGAAATACCTAAACGAATAATAAAGAAATATTATAAAACCTAAATACTGATATCAACATTATAAATGTTACAAAAAACGAAGCATGAAAGTATAAAAGAAAATATTTAAATACATAAATTGTATTTGTATTATATTAACAAACGAGTATTAAATAAGAACCCACTTTGGTTTTCTAAAAACTATTAAAATCGATAATATAGTGGTGTTTACAGATCAATTCCATGAAGGCCAAAATTTGCATATCGTTTTACTGCCAATTATATATGTACTCATCACTACGATAATTTATCAAATACGATAATTATCAATTTATATACCACTCACGACAATTTAGTATCAACTGTTATCGACTTCAATTCTCGAAGAAGAAACGAAAATAAAATATGCTATATGATAAGACACGTTGGCGGGCGCCTGGTGATAAGGCGAGGACGAGGTCGAGTTTTGAAAAAACGGGTTTTCCAACGAGGTGAGCCGTGAAATCGTGTAGGTACGACAACGGGTAGCGGTATGGAACGGTGACGCTGTTGAAGCGCAGATAATCACCACATGACCGGAACGACTCGTCCTTTTTTGATACGAACAAAAGTGAGCTAAGAGCTGGATGAGGGCTTGAAAGTGCCCTGCTTTTTTATGAAATCGAACTCGCAACGAGCGACGGCGAGGTGATCGGGCAGTAAATAACGCGGACGAGCGAAAAGCGGCGAATTGTACGTGTTGACGTTGTGCAGACATTATTTGGGTACGGGTGAATCACGCGTAACGTTCGGGAACTCCCGTAAGATTTTTTCCCAACCACGAGGACGAGCGACGGAGGAGAACTGCGCATTTCTCGGAGCATATGCGATGACCGCCTGGTTGGATCATTGCGTGAAATCGCCGAATGTCTAGACTAAACGAGACTGCGACGACGAGACTAGACCGCGCGAATTTTTTAGTCGTGTATGTACATTGTACCTACCTATTTACATACATTAAGACGCGATGAAATAAACGTGACAATCAAATTCACCAACAAAATGCCTAGGGATAATTCATCACTTTTTTTATCCATGAAAGTTATCAAAAGTGAATTCCAGAATACCAAAATACGACAATTTCGATATTTGTATGATAATTCATGAATATCACGCGTGATAAATTATCACAGAGATTCGCGAATTGGCTTTCTGAAAAGATAATATAGATCGACCGTAACAAAAAATTAACTCGATAACCGTATTTAATTTGAGAAATTAAAATGTTTCGAAAAATATCGAACGTTCAATCTAAATGTTTCTATATTTTCCCGCGATATCTGCAGTTAGCGTCAACAAAACAAAAACGAAAACGAGGATTATTAAAATTAATACAAATACATTATTTTAAAATTTTCAAGATCTACTGATGGCAATTGAATTTCATTGGAAACACACCAGCCCGCTCACGAGTCGATTACTCGAACTGGGCACTCGATTTACAGCCGAGCTTGATATTTTTGTTCCTGGTATTTCCCTCACGGACGTCGGCAACTGCACTCTAATTCTCATCGTTTGGACATTATTAAATAATCGTTATGTTGTCATGGTATTTCGGTAAAGGTTCTGTAGGCGAGAGAACGAGAAGGAATACTAGCTTAGCTAGATATTGGAGAATTATTAGGATTCGGAGAAGAAATACTAAGGGTAGGAGAAGAATATCCGACCCTCAGTACTTCCCGACTTCCTAGTCGGGAAATGCGTACGTGGTTATTATCATCCGACGTCTCTAGGACGGTGTAAGTCTCAACCAGGACTCGGACGTGGTAGTTGCTGGCGAAAGACATCGCCGGACGGACTTACCGCAGTACACTGTCATGTTCGTTTCTTTCGAACGACGAATTTTCGTTTCGGAGTCGTATCGCCGACAAAGACCACGGGACGTTTAACGAAGAGATTTGAACTATTTCTGATCACTCGATCGTAATCCGTGCGCCACTTCGGACGTCGACGATGACGGACGGTGGCGCTACACGTCTCAGGTACGCTCAGATCTGATAACCGACCGAATTGTAGTGCGGAACTCCGACATTTATTATCCGGTGACGTTCATAACAAAAAAAAAAAACCAAACAAACAAACAAACTATATATAGTGTGAAGAGTCGTAAATGTAAACACCGCTCTAGTTAGAAAAAAAATACATCAATATAGTAGATAACATAACATATAAAAAGAAGGTTAAAAATGAAATAATTGTTTTTTTTTTTTTTTTTGTCTTGTCTCTACAGTCTACACAGTACCCGATTTAGATTTCGGTTTAACGTCTTCGTGAAAATGTCGTAAAAGAAAAATGTCTACGCAAATAAAACGTTACACTATACACAACAATGTTACTGCTCCGTCGTCATCATCATCATCATCGTCGTCGTCGTCGTCGTCGTACGACCGGCATCGTGTTTTATATCCATCTAACGTTTTGTTTACTCTCGAATAAATTAACTATCGATTGTGACGGACGAAATAAATACACACAAACACGCTTACGTACACATATAGAAACACAATAATAAAGAATAAAGCAACCAAAAAATAAAATATTTTTTTTTTATATATATATACAAAAGGAAAACCTTTAAAAATCGCAAACAAAATGTATACGATGCAATCGAGCATCACAGTTATATCACTATATATACAACCGAAATCGTTTATGAACGATTTCCTGTAATATTTGTCCATTACATTCGTATTATTATTATTGTTTGAGCGTTTATTCTAATTATTATTATTTTTTTTTTTTTTTTTTATAATAACTTATTCGGCGTTTGAACATTTATGGTAAATAAATATGCCACAGTGAGATATGTAAACCTGGAAAGATGGAAAAAATAGAATGGAGAAGAGCCCAACCAAAGGTAAAAGATAGACGAGCACGCAGTACGCTGCAGACTGACTTTGAAAAATATGCGTAAAGAACGTGGATAAACGAGACTGCGAAAGTGATGGGAACAAAGAAAAATAATGGAAAAAGCCAAGGCTACAGATGAAAAAAATATTAATATAGTTTATTGCGAAATTTGAATTATATCGATTGTACACCTACATATTGTATACTAAGAGGACGAGTTACAGGCAATTTTCTCAAAATTTTTGGTAAAATTTTGTCAACTTAAAAATATTCAAATTCACTTGCAATTACATTTCCCAAATAGTCAAAAAAAAAAAAAAGAATTACATTGCTGAACGACTTTGGTTTTGGTTTA